AGAGCGAGTTAGTAAATAATTATCTTTATCTAATTTAGCTAATACTAAACTATTATAACTTATTAAAATTTTTATATATTTTATTCTTACTTTCTTATCTTTAAGTCTTATTATCTTTATAAAAATAATTATTTTTTAAATTAAACTCTATAATAATACACTTATAATAGCGTATAATATATATTCTCTTTATTTCTAATATCGATACTTATTAGAATTAACGTACTTTTTAATAAAATAAATTTTAATTAAAATTAAAAATAGCTTAATATTTATAGATATCTATATAAATCCTTTAATTCTTTTATATATATTTACTAATTTATTTTTTTATAATAATTAAAGTAGAAGAGATTAAGTCTAATAATTTATTATAATAAATATTAAATATTAATAATAATAGCGATATTAAAAAGTTTTAATATAGATTAATTAAATAATAATTAAACTCTTAATTAAAATAAAAAATAAAAAATAAATTTAGTTAAAATAAAAATATTAAAAAATCGCGATAATAAATAAATATATTTATATCTAAAAAGAAACTAATTAAAAAAGTAAAAAAAGTTAATATTTTAATTATTAATTATATTATAATTATTAAAAAGCGTAAAGTTAAATATATTAATATATTATTATTATAATAAAAGTAAGCTTTTAAATAAATTAGATAAAATATAATAAATAAATAATAAATAAATTCTAATTCTAGTTATTATTTTAGTAAATTTATATTTTAATAATATTATATAAAAAAAATATATAAGCGTAATTATAAAAAAATTTAAAGTTTTATTTATTATATAAATTATTATATATATAGATAAAGATGAGAACTTAAATTAAAAGAAAATAAATAATATCGAAGTTAAATAAGATATAAGTATTAAAAATAATTCTATTATACGCGTTAATAATTAAGTAAATTCTATTTTTTAAGCTATTTAAAAGCGTAATATAGAATTTAATAATAAGCGCTATTATAGTTTAGATATAATAATATTAACGCGCTAATTAATAAATATCGAGCTATTATAAAAATCTTAAAATATTAAATATAATTATATTTAAAAGATAAAATTATAAATTTTTATTTATATATAATTAATCTAATATATAATAATAAAAAGTTTACTATAAAAGCTACGCTATCTAAATCGATATTTTAATCTTAATTATTATTATCGCTATTATATAAATAATATAAAGCTATCTCTTATTTAAATATATCTAATTCTTAATTCTAATTATTATTATAAATATTATTAATTTATTCTAGAATTATTAAATATACTTTTATATACTTTCTATATCTAATCTTTTTTTTATATATCGCGAGAAGATAGCTTAAAGAAATATAGCTTATTATATTAAACTATAATACTTTCGAGAGAATATTAAAAAATATATTAATTTTTCTAAATTAATAATTTAATAAGAAGACTATAATTATAATATATATAATTTTATATTAAATAGCGATATCGAAAATATATAATAGGCGTATAAAATTATTATTAATAACTTTAATTATAAAGTATCGACGGATTTCGTATAACTAGTATTAGAGAAAAATAAGCTTTTCTTATTATTAATAGATATAGCTCGCTTTCTTTTATATATATAGAATAATAAAATATAATTATATTTAATTTTATATCTTATTAATTTAACGTAATTATTAATTAAAATAATAATTAGAATAATTATTTCTAAATATAAAAATTCTAATTAAAATATTTTATATATATATTATTTTATAATATAATATTATAGATATATTATATCGTAGAATATCTTATTAAGATTTTATATTATATTAGATATAAGATTATATAAATCTTAATAACTTATATTATATTATAGTATAATATAGTCTCTTATCTAATTTATAATTATATATTTTATTATTTATAATATAATTTAGATATTTAAACGAATTTTTATAATATCTTAGCTACTCGTAATTATAGTATTATATTTTAATAAAAGATATCTTAAGCTTAATATAAGAGTTATTATCTTTAAATTTAATCTATATTAATTTTTAATCTTATAATATTAAAGAGAATAAACTCTTCTTTTAATCTTATTAATTCTTTATATATTATCTCTTAAACTTTATATATTATTAACTACTACTTTTCTAATTATTTATCTTATTATTAAAGCGAGTCTTATTTAGAATAAAAAGCTCTTTTATTTTTTATAATCTTTACTTTATATTTTAATATTATTATAATAATATAGTATAAATAATAAATTAAATAGCCTTCTTTATAGCTTTTAGAGAAATTTTCTCTATTACTCTATCTTATAAAACTTTTATATATTTTAGATTAATTATATAGCGATCTCGCTATAATTAAAATATAATAAAATAATTATTAAAGCTAGCTATTAATTACGTATTCTTTATAATTACTTTAATTAATTAATATTTTATATTATAAGACTTAACGACTAAATTATAAACTTAATTTAAGTATTACTCTTTATATTTCTTTTAGATAGATTTCTTAATATCGCGTAATATCGTATTTTTAATATTTCTTTAAATTTATTTTTTAATATTTACTAATAGAGTAGAAGACTAGCGAGTTTTTTTTTTATTTATATAAAAATCGATATAAAGCGCTAAGACGATAAAATCGTTATAATCTTAAAGAAATATAACTATCGAGCTATAGTTATTAAGATATTATATATTAAGTATCTTAATAACGCTTATTTTTTTATAACTCGAATTATAGTAATAGTTATTACTATACTTATAACGATATTTTTATATATTCTATATTTTAATTAGTTTAAATTTTTTAATAACTAGCTACTTCTTAATATTAAATTTAAATTAAATTTATAAGACGAGAATCTTTATCTATAAATAGAGAATTATTAGATATAATATTTCGGCGATTATTATTTCTATTAATAATATTATTAGAATTTTTATTAATATTAGAATTAATATTATAATCGCTTAATTATATAATAGATATATTTTAATAAGAGTCGTTTATTAAGTTAAAAATATTATTAGTTAGTTATAATAAGATATTTCTACTTTATAAATTAATAGAATTAACTCGCGAGTTATTTATTATAATTAAATTAAATAACTTTATATAAATAAAGTTATTAAAATTATAAGATAGTAAAGTCTCTTTTAATAGAATTACGTAGTAATTATATAATTATAAAATCTAGATATATAGTTAATAGAATAGATAAATTAATAACTAAAGAAAAAAGAAGAAGAAAAGAGGACTTATAAATATTTAAGACTTTATTAAATATATTAAATACTCGCTCTATTTATATAGCTTATAGTCTAATAAGTAATATAAGCGATTCTATTAATTCGCTCTAAGTACTTTTACTCTTATAGCTATTTAGAAAAAAATTATAAATTATAAATATAAAAATACTTTTATTTTATTTTATCTTATTATAATAAAAAAAGTTTAATCGAGTATTTTCTATATACTTTTTAAGTAGATAATATTAATTTATATCTTAAATAATAGTTTAATAAACTTTTCTTATTTAAGAAAAATAAATACTCTAGAAAGATAATATATTTTTAATCTTTTTATTTTTTTCTAAAATAATCTATAATTAATAGAAAAAAATTCTATTAATTAAAATTAGAGTTTTTAATTATATAATAATTAAAAATAGTCTTTAATATTAAAGCGAAATTATTATTAAATTATTTAAAATCTTAAATCGTCTTTTAAACTTAATAGATATTAATAATATACGAGCTATTAAGTAAAAAGTCTAAATTAATAGAAATTTAATTAAACTATATTAGATAATATAATATAAAGAGAATAATCTTTTAAAATTATTATCGATGATTCGAGAAAATTCTTTAAAGATATTCTAAGCTTTTAGAGTTAAACTATATATATCTAGCGAGAGTATTTAATATTTCGCATTTAAGAGATAAATCTAATTATTAGAGATTACTCGAGTTCTAGTTTTAAAAATATTAGAATATCTTAGATATTAATATATATAATAGAATAAGATAGAGTTAAGCTAAAAAATCTTAAATTTATATATATAATTAGTTATAAATTTAGAGTTACTACGCTTTTTAATTAGATATTATAAGTAAATAAATTAGCGTTCGTAACTATTAAAACTTCTTACTCTACTTTAAATCATTTAATAACTTTATTATTTTCTATTAAAAATTTAGATTTTTTTTTAAGAATTATAGAGCGTAAACTACGCTTTTTAATATATTAAGAATTTCGAAATTTAATCTTATAGTAATTAAAGGATAATAAATTTCAAATATCGCTTATTAAAGATCGCTTATTAAAGATCGTTTATTAAATTACTCGATAGCTCTAATTAAAAAAAGAGGTTATAAATTTAATTTATAGGCCTTTACTCGTATTATAGAGTATATTTTAATATCGTCGAGTCTAAAAATTCTATTCTAGGGCTCTAGCGTACTCGTAATTTATACTTTATATACTATAGCTATACTGTAATAATTATAATAAGAGATTTCTATATAATACCCCCGCGTAGAAATCGTTTTAAACGACGATTTTTTAAGATTATAAAAATAGAGCCTTAGGCTCCGTAGAGGCATAACTCTAGCGAGTACGCTCGGGAGACTATATATTGAAAGAATTTTTCTTTTTAGCCTAATATAGTACCCGACGGTGTCGAGATAGCACCCGGGCAGCACCCGATACCTGAAGTTACGGAATCCGCTCGAGGCTTGCGAAGTCAGTCCGAGGCTTGCGGGATCAGCCCGGGGCCGGCCCCGGGAGCGCCGAGCGCACCCGGAAATTCGAGTCTGGCGGGCCGACCTCCCGAATTGTGATTGGAATATAGTAATAAGGATTCAAATGATAAGAACTTATATAGTCTCTTTCTCCTCGAGTAGAATATCGATGAGTTTGAAAATTATCAGACATAAGATATATCATGAATAACTCCGGCTTACATAACCTAGAACGCCTCAGCAGCTATATCTCGCTTCCCGCCTCTTTGGTCCAATCTTCGTCCTCCGCCAATAGACCTCCTTGTGTATACGCGAATGATGGAAACAACTTGGCCACAAGTTCTTCCCGGAGATCTGATCCAAGTTTAGGTGACCATGCTCCGCCAGAGAACACATAAGGCGATCCAGGATTAGCCCACCCGTGAGCCTCGCGTTCCCAGTCCAGGTCGGACGGCCCTTGCTCGGCTGCTCTCCGACCCATGCTCCAGATTCGGATCTTGTCCAGGGCGCCTGCTCGCAAATCTGCCCGCAGATCGCTCCGATTCTCATAGTCGTAATAAACATCATACAGTGCAAGCTGGCGGAGGCTGGCCTTGTGACGATGAATCAGTGCGGCGAGGCCGCCGAAATCGAAATTGTCGACAGATTTGATGGATAGATAGGTGAGATGGGGCCATGTGATGCTCTTGCCGAACGCATTTTCCAATCGGTCTTCTGTGCCAAGGTATGTAGATCGAAAACGCAGGCTTTCAAGGTTTGGCATCGTCTGTAGAAAGCTTATGATTGTGCCGGAGGACATGAGCTCCTGGACTTCATCAAGGTCGGCCAATTTTAGGTAATAATTGAAATGTTTAGTGCCGGTCATGAGTGTCTCGACCACAGCTTTCTCCTTGGGATCCTTGATTTCCATGACTATTTTGCTCAAGTCTCGAAATAGAGGGCCAGCGTCGGTATGAGCCCCAGAGGAAGCCCTTCCGTAAGCTATTGCCCTCAGAATCATTGTGCCCTGGTCCATGTCGAAGTTTGTCTGACAGGATCCTGTCTTCCATACTCTATCTATAATGTCATCTCTTGGCGAAATATCGAGCCTCTTGAAGTGCCAATTCCAACCGGGCTTAGGTTCAAAGTCATTTGGTGGAATGTCCTGTCTTCTGCGAGTCCAGTCCCATGATAGACCGGATTCAACCCGTTTGAGCTGTGGGAGACGGCCAACGGCGGCTTGCAAAATACCTTCAGCCGTAGCGAAGAGCTTTTGCTGCTCGGCGTGAAGCGACGAGTATTCCTTATAATGGAACTTGATTGCCTTTCGAGAGATTTTGGCGCAATCCGGCACGACCAAAGGTCCTGCGTAATCCTGGCCAACGTACAAGACCAGTGGATTGTCGATCAGCGTCCTTTCTCCTCGAAGCCATTGTCCAAATTCTTTTTCTGGAGGAGCGGGCCAGAGATGGCTTTTGGCACGATGTGCAGCACTCGAACATATTTCCTGTAGGTATGCTGCGAGATAGCCTCGAGCTTTGCGTGGCTCTCTTCTGTGAAGTGTAACAGGACCTCTTCGAACACAAACTCTGCGGTCATCAAAGCAAGCTTCTTGTTGCATAGTCGTAACGATTTCAAGGTCGCGAGCCGATTAACTGTCATTCCGGGCTCCGTGTCTAAATCTTCCCTCTTGCCTTTCGTGGGCATATTGGCACATAGCTTGCGTACCAACGTCAAAAGCCGAAATTTGCGAATCGCAGCTAGTCGATTCTGCAGCCGTCGTTGCATGTTCTTTGTTGACTCCACGATTGAAGACGAGTGTCTCCGACTGCTGGTTGTATGCGACTGGACTTGGGAGTTGGAGACTGATTGTAAGGCTTGTACGTCAGCAGTGGTGGACGGACTGCAGTCTCTGTCGGGTGCCCAAAGCGAGTCTTCTTCCTCATCGTCAATCATGGAGACGATGAGGCGGTAGACTTCTAGCGGAATTCGGTCCATCTTAGTATTCTTCAAGCTTCAAAAAAAGGCCTACGCCGTCAGTGCGCTTCCCAGGATGCGGAGACGACAGTCATGCGGGGTTCCAAATTCTGTGTGAAAGGCTATGATGCCCTTCAGCCTTGGGGGGTCTACTCCCCGCGAGGCTGCTTATTCCCTCCGTAAAGGTGCAGGATAGAATGCAGGGTCTGACCAAAGAAACCTAGTGCCATGCCTAGCCGCATAAGAAGGGCTGAGGTGGGGACGGCGCTTCGACTACCCCCACGCTGGAGAGCAGTGTGTTGAACTCCGGTATCGTTGTCCAGCCTAGCGATTTGATCGGATAAATCCATGTCTCAAAATAAATCAAGAGATCTTGCAGAGGATAAATGAAAGATGAAGGATGTAGGAGTGGAGGCAAGAGGTTGGAGAAGGCTTGGTGCAAGATGTCTTGCGCTAGGCCAAATCTGGATGGACCCCACTTCTTTCACTCTGAATTTGTGGAGTTCTTATCATCATGCGTGAGATCATATTGGTGTTGACTGTATACACATAAATGGAAAGGCAAACGACATTTTAGATGTCGTTATGACTTCCCTGCTTGTCGGAAACCCCGGCTGTGCAGTCAGCATTCTAGTTCCAAGACCCTCCAACGCAATGAGTTGTCGCTGGCCTTCTTCAATAACATTGTCCTATCATTCATTATACTCCAACACTGAGACAATCATCGAGGCAGTCATCACCTTTGCGCTCGCACTCATACATCAGATATGCCTGCGTGCGAGGCTCGCTAATCAGATCCATAAAAATTGGCTCGGCCTCCTCTTGCTCGATGAGCTCGATCGTGAGGCCAACGCTTTTGGAGCGGAAATGAGGAGTCCTTGACTATGCCATCGGCATCTATTTCTTCACGTGTCTCTAGCGCGACCTCCAGGGAAGCAGAGCTGGCGGCAACGAAAGTCTCGCTCCAAGGTCCATGCGCTGATACCTGCAGACTCCGCCCTCGATGTAGTGCGGAAGCACACCGAGTACAGGGTGTGTCCACCTCCCGCCAGTCTTGATAAGACACTGTGCCGCAGGCGGTGCTGGAGAGGACGCTGCGCTCTCAAACGTGTGGCTTTTGATAACGATCCTCCCGCAGAAGGTGCATTGCCAGCAGACAGACGCAGTTTCTGGGACATTGCAGGAGGTCAGGGCGGTATGGCGCTTGGCGCAGTGGCTGCTGCTCATAGTGTATGTCTTCTAGGCTTCACGGCCTGTGGTTCTTTGAGCGAAACGAATTCTGGTGATTGGTTTTCGTTGGATGGTGGAATGGAAGAGCTTATACTGGCGGATCGAAGCTTTGTGAATTGGGCCTGGGATTGGGCTTGGAGGTTGAGAAGAACAGGATATTGAAGGCCGCTCTGCTCGTTGGAGGACAAAGAGATTTAAGAACGCCCATTGTTCTTACAAAAGGAGACAACGGCTACTGTGGGGAAAAAAGAGCGGGAAGACGCTTAGAACATTTCAAAGGACTGAGAATGACACTGCTCCAAGCACAGCGGTTGAATATCATTGTGAGGCAGCTTAACCTGGTGAAATCGTGCTCACCTCATTCACCAAAGTTTATCCCACGGTCACAGTAACCCTGAGATACGAGGTTGGTGCTGTCGATCTCATTCGAGTCAACTACCGGAAGGATTCCCGTGTTAGTCGAGGAGTATGAAGTGCTTCGTGTGGCGTAAAAGCTTTCCCACTACCTCGGTCTCCTTCAGATATGAAGGCGGGGGAAGAACAGTCACGTAATTCACACGATAATGATCGTTCCTAAAAGCCTATGAAATTGTTGTGTGTCAGTAATACATTTTAATGATGCCCAACATTGGAGGGACTCTAGGTATACAAGACTCGTTTGGGACATCAGTGCGATAGGGCCAATCACTGTCTTGATCTCCCTTCCCCAAGCAACAAGGATCAGAGACGTGTCTATCCTCACGCAATGAACGGTGGAGCACTGTGAGTCGGCTCTCCATGTCACCTCTGAATCACATTTCGTAGGGACTCAACGCTTGAGTTTTGTATCAGCCCCTACCAAGGTCTTGAAGCGGACTCGGAGATACAGTCCTCAGTACTCTGACATCAGGACATTCCGTTCTTCAATAATTGGTACGCAACATGCCGTATTAGCCATTAGTATGTGGTTTCCTTGTTGATATCATCACGATGGTTTTTGCATACTTCATGAGGTAGGCCTCAGATACAAGTCATCAATTCATGAACCATGTGGCTTCCACCATGTAGAAACTTGACTTCCAAATGAGGAGGAGCGCTTCGCTGCTCTAGGTTCTGAGTCTATCGCCTCCTGTATAGCATCGTGGAATGTGGTATGGCAGGCCGGCAGTCCAAGTCCGGCTGACGACGCTAATGCATGTCTAGAGGTGGTCGTGTTTGAAGGTCTTTTTCAGGGATGGGCGTAGATCGCGTATCGTCCAACGGCGACTCATGTGAGGGTTGCGTCGTAGAGGACCTGTTGGCGTGCAGGGAGTTCCAGCGACTAGACGACGTAACAAGAGTCTCATCGTCTGACCATTGCCACTGTTTGCCTTTATCCGTTGTTTTGGAGCGAACAGGTAGCGCGAGGTTGGTGACTTGACCGTCTTTGGCTCGATGGTGGGCCTCCATTTTCGTATGATCCAAGCATTTATTGATTGCGCTGAGGAGTAATTTCTCGTAGAATGTCTCTAGGAAGTTACCCGTGTTCATGGCGCTAGGATATCAAATACCGCTAAACGAGTGTAGGAATATGAGTCATTGATTGTAGCTTTTCAGCGAGTTGAATCATACTGGCAATCGCTTTGTTCACACACAAGTGCTCCAAAGATGAGAATATAGACTACAGTGGCCACATATCATGCGCTTTCAAGCTCATGGTTGAAAGATATTTTTCTAGTCCAGAAGTTGTCCAGATGAAACGCTGGGTTAATTACAAAACATCAAATCTGCGGCCGCGTACTAGGAAATCCACTACAAGTACACAAGATTCTGTCAAAGGTGCCTGATGCTCTCGAAAAAATAATTCATGAACCAGCCCTTCAATCCGCAGTTTCTTCTAATCATGACATCCAGCTCTCATACATGATTTTCCTGAGTAGACATCCAGCCTATGCGCACGACCACGTTATACAAAACAAGCACTATCACCCGGAGGTTGACGATTACCCAAGAATACGCACTTTACGCCTGCTAGACACACAGGTCCTTCCCTACATGAAAACGGGAGCAACGAGTTTCGCAAGGAAACAAACTCAAGGAGCCAATATTCATGTTCTAAAGGCCTACGTACGTACTCTGAATTTTCAATACGTATCGCAAGGGAATAATTATCCAACTTGTATGAAGGTTTTGGGGAAAGATCATGTATGATACGCACTAGGCACTGCCTAACAGATCAACACGACCCTGAATTGCCTCTCTAATCCAGAATACTCAGTTTTAGCACCGCACCGACCTCTCCCATCCACCACAAACCCTTCAGAGCACCAACGCACCAACAATCTGACCCGTCGAGAAATTCCCAAAACAATCCAGCAGCACCCCTGGGATAGTGATGCCTACGTCACCACCATCAATGAGACCCACAAAGAATTTCAACAGCACAGCGATCTTCAACCCTTGAAAGAGAAGGGTACCTTTCCACTATCAATGAGACCCGCCCAGAATGCCAGGAAATTGAGCGCTGTCACCACAAACACAGGGCCGAATTCCTCACCGCTCAAACCTTTGAAGAGAGCGAGGATGATATTGTCACTCGTGCCGGAAGACTCGGGTTGGGTGACTTCAGTGGAGCCAGCGTAGCAGACGGGCTTCTTGGAGGATGAGCCGTACGAGGCGGGTGTTTGAGTGTGAGATGGCATGGTGATTGTTTCTGGCTTGTTCTTGGTGGTGCTTGAGGATTTCTTTTCTTTTCTTTTCTATTTCTTTTTCTGCTTGAAGGTTGTTGAGGTTGCTGAGAGGTGTTTCCAGAAGAGAGGTCAGGTGGGCAGATGTATCGATAAATACGCTCCCGCATATGAAAGAACAAATGCATTCAGGAGTAGTGAAAGGCTGTGATAGACATGATCATTGATGCCTAATATCAAAGAAAAACTCAACAATGATATTCTTCATGTCATGAGGACGCAAATATCATTGCGTACAACAAGATTGGCATACTCTTTCTTCAGAACAATTGAAAAACGAAAACAGTATCATACAATGCGAATGAAATAGCCAGATTTCGGTTTTGACACAAAGTCGATAGAGACACGAGCTTTGTTCACTTAAAACAAGAGGGCCACAAACGATCCACAATCCCATTCTTCACCTCAAGCTCCTCCCTCTTTCCGCTCTCCATTCACACTATACACCTCAGCAGCACAACCTCTCAATCTCCGCCCTCCCTAACCGCACGTACACCTTCACAATCTCCTTTGCGGCAATGGTACCCACAGCACTCAGATCCAAACCTACCGTCCACAACGGTGCCCTCCACAACATGTACAAATCGCAACAATCCGACCGCTCTCGCCACGACGACGGCCGCCGCTCGCCCGTTTCTCCTATAGAATCGAACGGCGAAACATGGAAGTACCCACCGCGCGCGCAAGCCCATCTGAAAGGACTGGGGCCTCTTCACGATAAACCCCACGGCGAAGCGCCCAAGGACCATTTCCGCTCCCGCCCAATGTCCTATTACGATGGCCTGCCCGCTTCACCGGAGCCAGATACCAAGGCAGTCTTCGCCGACCTTCCCGCCGCGCCTGCCAAAAAGAGGCTATCCCGCCCCTTCGAGCAGCCGTATCCCACGTCTAATCAGGGGCGCCAGGCGCCAGGAAAGGGACAAACCTCCACACCATCCGCTGCCGTACCGATGCAAGCTAACCTGTCCCGCGCAGATTCTCGTCTTCGCCGCCAACCGGCCGGATTCTCGCATCCGAAGGCTCCGGCCCCGCTGGCGATTCCGCCGCCGGCCCACCAGTCAAGACGTCAACGCGAGCCGAGCCCCTATCGAGAAGACCAGGCTCCGGCACAGCGTTCCGTCCGTCATCAGGCAAAGCAAGTTTCCGGCCCGCGCCCGGCTCGTCATCAGGGGTGGAATCCGCTCCAGGAGCCAGCTCGTCAAAAAGGTACCGTTTATGTCCAGCGTAAAGATCAGCGTCGCGGTGACGACCTCGAACGGCAAGGGGGGCTCGCTCGCTCGAAGAGTCGGGCGAAAGACAATGATCCTGAGTACAAGTCCGGACGGAGATGTTTCTTCTCTCTTATGGTTATGATGATTATAATTATTGTTGGCGTTGTCGTTATGGTCGAGAAGAACAAGAGTCGAGGTTGATGATCGGTGTGGAGGTACTATACTGAGGGCGGTTGTATAGAATATATAATGTGTCAAAGATCGCGATGCCTTTTCTTTTGCTGTTACATGCAATAGAATAGGAGTATATATCAGAAAAAATGGTTTTATGGATCAAACGCTTCGGCTTGAATGTCTTCGAAGTGATAAAAGGACAAGCATCCCCTATCCATATCCTCGACAGATCCTACTCGCCCTGTTGGAGATAATCTATCGATTATAGATGAGCTGTCAGTCCAGGTAGTTTTCTTTCATAGACGAGTGTCCATCGCACTCAGCAGATTGAGACAGGGGCTGAACAGCGGGAGAGGGTCATTGACCGAGTTAACGCTCGTGAACAGCCTCATATGAACGATATCATATATCCCTACCAATTCAAGCGGTGGGTCCCCCACGGCATCGGCAGTCAGACACGAGGAAGGCCTGCTAGGTACTGCTTCGTGGGTATGTCACCCAGTGCCACTATCGACTTCAGCAATATTGGTTTCATCCTGGTCTTTGCGCATGAGTCGATGGATGTCGTAATCCAATGCGTCGTTCCGAAGGAAATGCTGAAGGTTCAGCCGTGTTGCTGAGAAGTAGCCTCGACCAGTACGTACTTCTCACTCGCCACTGTACGATCTCGAACGCTCGCGAGAGCTTGAGAATTCCTGCTTACTTTTAGTACAGTGGCAGGGACACATTTATGGCGCACAAAGAATTGAAGCCCCCGAAGTTCTGGCAACACACGTGACTTGACCCTTTCTTCAACTGGATTCGCCATTGATGACATCTTTCTGCGGTTTTCTTACTCCACTTCTTGCCGGGCTGCGCTTGGGTTGCGCTTGGCATCGATTTGGTGAATATCCAATGATCTTTGCTGTGGGTATTGCTGGGGCAAAAGTTCAGTACGCGTATGTGCGGGAGGATCGATAGGCACAAACCTTCTGGGTAGGCTTTAGCGAAGGCGGTATTGCCAGAGAAAAGAGTTACTGGTGTCTCAAGAAGAGAGACGCAGCTTTCATTACTACATCCTACGCTCGGTAGCAAAGACGCTTGAACTAGTCCCTTTGTTCGGACTGGAGGAGCAAAGCTGATACATGGCAGCGGTAGCCATTGGGGTAGAGCCGAGATCGCTCTTATCAACATCATACATTGACCATATTACTCGGTTGTCGGTCAAGCTGATGCTTCTGCAGGGCTATCACCTCGGGCTAGCAAGCTCAAGATACCAAGCCAACCTCAAGATCTACAGCATTGGAGAGTACTGCACACCACCAAAAACGTGGCCTCTCAGGCCCGCGGATAGGGCATTTCGTATCGGCCGGAACTTTCCCTCCCTGGCTTCCTTTCAGCCTTCAAGCCCATAGAAGCCACAGCCATTCTTCCGTGTGTCCCAGTGTGGCGCTTGGCTCAACGGCCCATACCACGGGGTGGAATACCCGTCACTCAGCACCCTGGGAGACAGGTTTAGCAATGTGATTCAATAAAATGATTCAAAGCGGGAGCAGCCTTACAGCCCTACGACTTTACTCAATAAGGCAAGAAAGTGAATTACCCCAAAGGGTATTACACGTAATTATCTGTGCCTATCTGATGGGTAGACTTTAGGGGGTTTCGGGGAGTTACACCCCGGAGAAACTACGGTGCGAAAACCTAATTAGGCAACTATGCATTTGAATCACTGTTTCATAATATAAAACAGTGATTCAATTTGTGGGTGATCGACGACGCTAAGTATTACCCTGTATGGTTAGCCTATTGAATTATTACCTTTTTCGTTTTGAATCATTCTTTTGAATCACATTGCTAAACCTGTGTACCCCGTATACATTACCCACGTTATCAAGGAAGCCCTTTATGCGTTGGGGAATCGATTGCGCTTCTATTTCCGGAGACATGACATCATATTCATGCTTCCCACTCAATTATTCACTTAGGTACTTCAGTAGGTAATATCTCGTTCGTCCATCAAAATCCGGGTATACTCCATGGAATGCGCCATACGTCAACATTCGGCAACAGACCCGCGATGGTCAATCTATTTTTCTGGTTTACTGAGAGGCAATGATGCAGTGGTAAGGGGTCCTGAGCCAGATTCCGCTGTCCCGACGACCTGGATTCTTTTCGCACGGGCAGACTCTAACATGATCTAAGCTCCTAAATCCTTGTTCCCATGCTTCCCGTGCTACAGTAGTAGCCACGGCCTAAATACATAATCAACCGCCGTGTCTTGTCAGTTGGCTGGGATTGTGTTGGAATTCAGCAACTCAGCCCTGTTATGCTTGGCATGAACTATAAGTAGCAGTACTCCTCCATAGAAATACAACAAGCCGTCATCAAATTCATCAGATTGTTTAGATTCATGTCCCTGGATCTCACAGGGCCAAGGTGGGTAAGGGCAAGGGTAAGGGTAAGGGTGGGTAAGGGCAAGGGGTAAAAGGGTGACACGCAGTTTTACGAGCCATGATGACACCCCATAGCTCACCGCTGCCTGCAGCCTAAAGTACTTTGAGCTAGCCGATCCAGCGGGCCCGCCTTAGTATGCGGGTTTGTCGTCGTTGCAGCACTGATTGGCCCACTTCTAAGGTATACGGAGGTGGCTCAGCCGCCACCTCTGAAAGCCAAGTGCTATTGCATATGATAAAGTACTGCTGTCCCAGAGGTATTGCTGGTAATTCCTTGAGCCCCCTTAAAAAAAATTACAGCCCGAAAGCGTTCGGCACATCACACTTCCTCGAGGGAAATGATGATCACTTTACACATTTACTATATAGGCTCTCGTCTCCCCTCATTTCCACACTGTTCTGAATCACATACTCGATCAATATCAAGTTCCGAAGTCAAGCACGTTACCGTCATTTCTACCAACTTCGATAGCGTCCCCACTCGCTTCCCCTAGCCTCGGGCCTTCCCTCTGTACCACCTAAAATGAAACTCCTCCCCCTCCTCACAGCCTCGCTCGCAGCCACAGCATCCTCCCCACCCACCCTCCAATCTCGAGTTACCAAATGCTCAGAGCCTACCGCCAGCACTGAATGTGTTCCGCCCCGCGCCGGCACACCTCCGTTACGATCCTTCGTCGCATGCAGCGGCCAAGACCCGATGAGGTATCCCTGCCACCGCCAGCCTCAGCGAATGCCGGCGCATCCGCCGCAAGCAACATCGCCCAAGACAACAGCTCAACATCCTTTACTCCACAAACGATACCTTCTCCGCCTGCTTGGGTCCTGACACTCGAAGACCTCGTCACTGCCATCTATCGTATCGTCATAACCATCCTCACACTCTTCAATGTCAACATCACTTGGAGGATCCGCGGTGAGTGTTAGAGAAGTCCTGCGTACGACGCGGAAACTCACATGTCCAATAGCGAACCAAGATCGTCGACCTCGTGGGTTAAGGCATGCATGGGCCGGTGTGAGGTTGGAGTTTGTTTAGAGTAAGGATTGTGCTGCGTATGCGGTTTTGGTCTGGTTTGTTTGGATAGCGAGGAAATAAAAGGCTAGAGGATGAGAGTATCATGCCTCGTTTTGGCGACTGGTTCCCTGATTTACTTGCAGTAGAGTAGAATCATTTCAAAAGACCGTTGTTTTTCCGACGTGAAAAGTTGCAGACGAGGTTCTTCAGTAACGGAGGAATGATAATAAGATGCGAGATATCACGGAAGGAGATTGTTGAGGAATCGGAAGGTTTGTTGTGTCTGCGTTCATGGTTGATGAGTCGTAAAGGCGATGTTCGAAACTACCATTTTGCGCGGCTTTCCATTCCACACCCGCTGAGACTTTAAGCACCTGGACCCGGAAACAAGGACGGTACTCTCGATACTAGAGGTCAAAGATGCTGTACCGCACATGCGATCCTCAAGACAAAGCATTCGATCTAAATACGGAGTTTTCCGCATGAATGCTCCTTTATGCTTTTAGGCAGGGAAGAGAGCCGATCTATGAATATGACCGTGAATGGAAAAAGAACATAACTTAAAACACTGTAAACTCTTTCTTCGTTCATGGGAAGTGCCGCGAGTGTAAGCTCAGATATCAGCTACTCCATTTCTTCCAACCGTGGCTCCTGTGCTAAAAATCGCAAAATCTTGAGTCATCCCGTAGACGCCAATCATTACATCTTTACTTCATCATGATATTTTTGAAAATGGCGGCGTTACTGCAACATTCACATCGAGCGCTGATGATATCGCAGTATCCAACCTCATACCAATAGAGGGAGGCTGTCCGGACACCCGCGCCATTGCTTTTCCTCAAATGCAATGCCGGATTAGCCAGTACCGAGATCCATCGGAGTGGACGGCCTACGTTCAGCAGCTCGACTTGCGTTTCCGCGTTGGTCTGAAAGAGGTACTGGTGGAAGAGGCTTTTTGCGAAAGTTGAAGCCATGTTCATGATTCGAAAGCTGTGGCGTCCAGCCATGAAAAAAATTCGAGGTAGGTAATCTAACAGTATTGGCACTATTTATATCGTTTCGAGAATCTGAAATTGGTCCTTGCCTGTCTATAGTCACTGATTGTCCATACCGAGAGGAAGACATTTGAGCAACTAGTGAGGCTCCACTTTCGATCAGGTGGCCTTGGATTCGAGTATTGTTATTAAGTGGCTGGCTTGTATCCATAGACGGCCATTCCGTGGAACAAGCAGAATTGGACTGCTGCGATGGTGTGTCGCTAGCATTTGGGTCCATGAGCGGAGCTGGATGCGAAAATGTATCGTTGTAAAGATAATCAGGTTGGAATGAGTCATTGAGAAACGCTGTTGGGTTTAGAGGAAGGTCGTACTGCGGGTTTGGAAATCCCGTGCTAGAACTTTGGACGTTACTCGAAGAAAGCGACCCAGCCAGAAGTCGTGAGAGTGGAGCACGCCGCCGCGTGTGATTAGACAGTGATTGATACGTTGAATTTGACAGAGGTACCACCATAGCGGCTCCTGGACTTCGAGGAGCCGTGGAGACCTTATCAAAGCTCATCTCTTCTCTACCCGTTGTAGCCATCGAACCCTCCTGACTCGACCGTATCCACTCATAGTTACTGAGCTCTAGCGCCGCCTTCGCGAGGACTAGCGCAGGCTCTTTACCCATCTCAAGTCTCAGTTGTAGGCCTTCTGCCAATGGCATTTCCCACCGAAGATTGGATGCTACCAAAAGAGGATGCGATCTCAAAAGAGCACGCCAGGCGGCCTGCACTTCGGGCTCAAGCAATAGTCCCCTAATCGAGTTGCTCAATTCCCACGCGCCCATGTTCTGACCGTGTCTCCAATGCTCGTTGTCGATATGATTCAATCGATCGGTGATCGAGATGAAGATCATAATACAAAGTCCACAGGAGAAGTATTTCTTTTTGGAATCATATCGCCATCGGTCAGTAAGTGCTTCGCCAACTTTACTGTGAACACGATGTAGCGCCAGATGTCTGACCATGTCGCTCCTTCTTGATTTTTTGAGGGGAACCCCGAATTTGCCGAAGCAACTTGAGATGTTGTGCCATGCCAGATGATCCGCGTCGGGATCTGCTTTACCACAAAGTGCACATATCAGGCCATTCTGAGTAGGCTCCACCGGTCCATGTGGCATGCACAGATAACCTGTTTCATGTTCTCTTTCATGCCTTTTCCAGCCTTCACACTTGTTTATCGGTCTGGAATGTTCCCTGTAAGTACACCAATGTGCATGATTAGACTCATCATCGCAGGCAATCCCTTCGGGAAGCTCAGGCAAAGGGATGCCATAGCCTAAGGAGCCACCAGAGCTCCTTGGGGTACAATAGTTCGAATCACTACTGAAGACAGCAGAGGGGGCGAAAGAGCTGATCGAAGATCTTAGGCTAAGGTTTGTCGAGGGCTGTCGTAGCTGGCGTGATGTAGGCACAGCGGGGGATCTGAAAGTGGAGATGGTGTTGCTCAACGTGCGCTGCCCATTGAAATCACCTGTGAGCTATAGTCAGCGACAGGCCATCGGTAGGAAAATTTGGCAAGATCATCACTGACTGGTGCGAAAACTGAGAGTGAGCCATGCTAAGATGTCGCTGTCGCCGCAGTCTCTCAATGTGGAGAGTGCCTCAAGCTGCTGATTAGAGAGGCACCCTCGACCTGCCTGGTACCGGAAACCCGGCTCAATGGACCGCAGAAGTGTAAGCCAGGCAAGGATCTTCTCGTTGTCGAAGGATAGAAGCTCGTCAAGGGCTGCTTGTTGCTTTGGGGTCGGCAATGTGTGTGGCTGCACGTCCGAGGGGTCAGAATAGATAAGATTGGGGTCCTCAAATGAATGAGGCTGATTGGCGTAGAGAGAAAGTAGGGCTGGGCTTCTGACTAATGATGATGCAGCACCTTTCTGCATGATTGCGTCTGAGCAAAGATTCTCTAGATGTCAGAATTTCAATGCAGAAAGAGCGCTTCATGAACTGTTGCCATTTTTCCATTTTTTCTGGAGACACGACAGCGAAACGATGACTTTTGTTAACCATGGTAAAACCGCTGACCTCCTGCGCCGCTGGCTGGCAGTCCGCAGTAGCATCATTTGCTTCGGACTTTGGCAGGAACAGGATCCGCGCTTGTTTCATGATCGGATTTCTGGCCAGGAGGAGTTGCCAAAGCTGTCACACAACGCGCGATTGAAAGACTGCATCACCTGGAACTCAATTGCGACATGCGACGGTCGAATCAGGCCCTCTCTCTCTCTCTCTCTCTCTCTCTCTCTCTCTCTCTCTCTCTCTTTCTCTCTTGGTACCTGGTGGTCCTGGTGGTGCCTACGTGAACTCTTCACCTGCCTCGACAACCATTTCACTTTAGCCTAGCCATCATGTTGAAGACAGAACATACATTTAATCAAAGCCTTTCTTATTCTAAGTAAAGACGTCCTGCGAATCTCTACCTGCAGATCGTGACTTTCAATGGCCCGCTTGGGAGTTCTTTGCAGAATGAAAGGATGGCGAATGAATTTTGGGGCTCGGCTTTCGGAGCTACTCCGCCACAAGATCCCTGGGACACCCCACCGCTTCTTGAAACTTAAAGTCATGTGAAGCAATCAAACGATATCTCATTCTAGGCGTATTTGGTAACATGAACACTCGATCGTACCCATCAAGACCGCGATCCAATCAAATTGCCACTCTCTCTCCTGCCAACGCTACGACGAGAATATTAAGTGCCATTTATCTAGCAGCATTGACGTGATACTAGAGTTTCATTTGGCAACGCTGCTCACAGCCTGACAGCTTTAGCATGCTACATCCTGTTCTCTGAAGATCTTTGAGTCGTCGAAATGTATGGAACATAGATCTATCATTACTGGTGATCAAGACGCGAGATATCAGTAAGAAGCAATCAAACCCAATCCAATCCTATCTCCGACGTTAAGGTCGGTGAGCTTCATGTCGCCATCGATCACAATTTCCATACATCATCGTCGATGAGCAAGCTCGCTGTTTCAAATTATGCATGTTGCCGTTCCTTATCTCTTCCAACCCCCCAAAAGCGGTCGAGGCGCAACATCCAAGTACATACGCCTATCGCCAACTCTCCGTCACCGGACATCGCACTCCAGTTGCCCTGAATCTCGTGAAGCGACCAAAGCCCGATGAGGTATCACCGTTACCACCCGGCCAAGAGCCGACCATAGAGACGAACAACGACTCGTTCAGACAGCCGCCAATAGCTGCGAATAGTTGGTACCAGGAGGTGTCATAACCCATAGCCATGAACATAGCCTCCAGTAGCAGGCTGCTGACGAGGTGCTTGAAGAGGAGGGACAAACGACTCATGGAAAACAAGCCAGTCGTGACTGCCGAATGCAGCCTGCGTGTGCTTCTTGGTTCGAGAATTGTTCAAGGGTTTCTAAGACCTTTGAAGTATATTACCATGGACGGATACTTGCTTTGTTGGCTTTGGAAGCGCTTCTTCCGGAAATCTGGCGACGGCTCTGATTCCGCAGAGATGCAGAAGCCAGACTCAGACGTAATTGAGGCTGCGAGATTTGAGCTGCAAGATCGAGTCGACAAGACTGAGAAGCATTGTTCGATCAGTGGTCTTTCTAGGTCAAAGTAAGTAGTGTAACTAATGGTAGCAGACAGGAGATGGATTAGCAGAACCTCCTTGACGATCCCTAGCCATCAAGCTCGTAGCCTGAATGGGAGCACTTCCACTTGTAGGAATTTGAAAAAAAGGAAATTCCTGAGCGGTGGACACCCTAGGACCATGAAGACTGATGTGCAGTTGTCCATGTCCATGTGTATTTGTTCTTTATAGTACCATTTTAGAATTTTCCGGCACGATCAAGACACGACCACGGTCACTGAACCACTGGAGAAACTACCGGAAATTGTCCTTGTGGGTGTTGATGAATCGTCAATTAGTCGTCAATTGGTCGTCGATTAGTCGTCAGAGACATGATGAGGACCTACAAATTTTCTGTAACACTTCTCTCACATCAACCAACATTAGAAACAACGAGAACGACTCAGATGATGAGCCCCAGCAACTCAAGACCTCTCAACCTTTCTCAGCATTCAGGATCATTCACCAGCAGCATGGACTCAGGTAACTAGCCCTGACTTGCCTCCTGCAACATCACGAAGCACCTGCAGCTGACATTTCCGTAGGGGATCTTGCCTCTACAGGCGACTCCACAAGCCCGCCAGATACATTCTCTGCCTACATAGATTCGGACCTCCTGACCTCCCCTAGACCTTCCGACGCGGATATCACTAGTCCCACAACTTCATCACGAAAGGTTTACGTCCTGACCTATGATGCAGCGATGTGGGTTGACAAGGTCACACTCCTGGACGGCACACCCATTTTTGTCGCTGTCAACGATGATGTCTCGCCCACCGCTGTTCAGCCATGTGGAGTGCTCGGTACATACCTGTCAGAGGCAAAAGCGAGGAGAATTGGCAAAGCATGGATATATGACCAGCTTACGGACCTCGGAGTTCATATTGATTTGCCCCTCCCAACCCAAGACGGATACGTACGAACGGAACCGGCTTGGAGGAAGTCGGAATGGAGGCGGACCGCTGATGGTAGTTGGGGTTACTCGATCAGTGACTATTCTCCGAGCTGGCTCGCTCTGGTTGTGTATATCACCGAGCGTGTTATCGACGATTCAGATGGTGAGGAGGAGTATCAAGACAGTGACAATGAAGCTTAAAGCAAAAGAATGGACTGGTAGGGCCTGTTGGAAGCCGCAAGAGTGGTTGCGAAGAGTGAGAAGAAGCACAAGGGAGAGCCGGAAATAGATGTATAAGACTTCAATGGTGGAGGTCTCGATATCTTCAAGACTCACCAATCAGGCTCCGAGGTTCAATGAGCTGCAGAGGCTGGAATTTCAGTGTGGAAAGCAGTTCCAGTGAGTGATTTTGCCGGATGCTATAGTAAGCAGTGTCACTAGTGCCGGCAGGTATGCTCTGGGTTGACAGCATTCCTATCATGCTTGTATGACCAGTTCGACTTATATAATAGAGAAGAATTTCCGGAACCGCAGAAGCCATGTAAGCATGAAAACTGCTCAGTCGATCGTCCATAATCCTCACCACACAGAGGCCCCAATCGCAAAGACAGCCGCTAGGTTTCCTTTTGCTCCCGTCGAGCATGAGATGATCAAAAACCAGCTTTCTAGTGTCGAAACTAAAGGGGATAGTGGCTATAGCGGCACTTCAAGCACAGATAGTTTTGAATTTTGACAATGAAAACAGGCCTCCCAAAAAATAAAGACAAGCATCTACTACCTTACCCACAAGCCTACCACACCGACGGCCCCACCCAGCACTAATCCCCACTAGCCATTTCCCTCTTCCTACGAAACACTGCCATTCCCCACCGCCACCCCTGATACCTCCAACACAATACTCAACAACCAGTCCTTCCTCGGCCCGACCCTCGTCTTCGCGAAAAGATTAATACCCTCTACCTCACCAACAAAACATTTCCCCAGCGCCCAAACCGCCGGCCCCAACAGCGTCTGTATCGAAAACACATCCCTCCCACCCCCACCGTCGACCAGTATGTAGCAGCCACCAAGATCAGTCTCCGGCCCCCACTGCTTGAAATCGCCCGGGTCCCAAACGACGGGACTGTGGATGCGGGGCGTGGCGTAGAGGCGGAAGAGGGAGGGGATGCAGGTTGAGAAGTCGCTCAGGGGTCGGGATAAGGGGTCGCGGCGGCAGCTGACCTGGTTCATGCGGGCGGTGAGGATGGTGGAGCTGAGTGTGGAACTCGAGGGCAGAAGAGGTAGAAGACTTGGAGGGAGGGATGAGGGGGAGGCGAAAAGGGGGGCGAGGAGAAAGATGACGGCGATCAAGGAAGGGAGCATACTCGGCACTAAGGAAAGATGCTCGTGATGCCCAATGATAATGCACTGGAGGGTTGATGGGGAGTCCTATTGGGAATACTCTTATGCGCGAATATCTCATCTCGCTTCTTCGCTTGTTATACACGCGCACCCCTTGGATCTGAGGTGTTTGAAAGACACCTTCCGACTTGGCAAGCATGAATGCGTCTTGGACAGTAGGGACGAGCCGAGATACTTTATATATGGTACTAGTAGAGCTTCCCACAAAGTCGAACCCACTGGCGCAAGACGAGCAGAGGAACCATGGGCTGCGCCAACGTTCCAACAGTCGAGATTGTTTGAAAATAATAGCACTCGAGCCTTTGTCAATCTATCGATGGTTACTAGGCCAGATAACTGTCACTGTCAATGTTGACGTGGGGAGTCCGGTCAGATCAAAGGATTTGTCGGAAGAGAAAGGTGTTGGCCTGAGCGAGTCCACCAAAATCCTTCCCAAAAAAGACTTAGGACCTTCCAAGTATCACCACACGAAGATACATCTCAACATCTGGTGAATAGAGTAGTATGCAATTTGGTGAAGACTGAGACTAAGGCTAGCGCAAAAGATCGAATTCCGAGCATACAATCAGCATGCGTACTTGGCAACAATGCCGTGACGAACCCGAGCAGGTCTAGAAAAGTATCGATCGTCTAGCAGACTATTATTCAGGTGCATCTTAAAGGGCGGCACATTAGTCGGCTTTCCGGTTCGCCGGATAATAAACTGTGCTGTTCAAATAGCTCTAGGAATAGTGCCAATCGTCCAACTGTTCCGAAACTCTCGCATCAAGAGGTGCCAAGGCATTCAAATGCCTGATGCCCCTAGTAGCGCCTCGTCCCTGTGCTCTTTGAAAACGAAGTCGAGGATAACACCGAGTACCAAGAGCTGTCAAAGTTCTCCATTAACGACATTCAGTATGGTGCGAAGTAAGACTTACCTAACCGATTCATATGGTATCTTTTCAGGGGCATAGAAGGTGAAACAGTCATTCTCGACCTGTACCGCATGCTACACATCAATCTGAATCTCACAAACAGCATTGATTTACCTTACAGGTTTGTTGAAATCCTCTGCTTCAGGGTATCTTTTTTCGAGCCAATTATGGAGGTCATCCTTTGTGACGGTCACATCTCCTTTAGTAAAAGCAAGGATGTTCTTCACCAAACAGACGCGCTGTGTCTGGCTCCTAACATTCCCGTGAGCTCTTACGGCAGATTGGCCCTCTGTACACGTAGCTGCGTTTCCATTTTTGGTGAGCTATGTCATGATCCCCAGAGCGAATCCTAGTGACGAACCCGTCTGCGCTCGGATTGCTCGACTATCTCTTTTTGCGAAAACGACTCGTGGCAGGATAGGTTCTGATTGGCAGTGCCTTTGGTCTCTTGGAATGTAAGACTTGTCTTTCCAAGCGACCTGGACTGGCTGTGGAGATGCCTTTCCAAAACGTCACTGTCTGGATCCGAGACTCCCGGACTCCTGAAAGATGGGACTGACTTATAGGCTTCTGGTGTTGCATCAATGCCACGAGTAAACGGTTCTTCCTCTTGTTTCGCTGGTCCGAGAGGGCTTTCTTGCAGTTAGGTGATGGACCGCTCAGTAGGAGTGACCCGGATCTTAAGATTCCTAGCAATTGGGGACGTTTCTAGTGCCTGCATAGCTAACGCATGGGTTGAAGCAAGCATCGTGCCCGAAAGCACCGAATTGACTAAGTTGGACGTAACAGCCGGAGCCGTAGTAGAGCTGTTGGAATTTTTGACTTCGCCCTGACTATCTGTTGTCGCCAGCTTCATTTTTATTGAATTCAGCGTTTGGTTCGATGGCTTCGAAGATGTTTTGTTGTTCCTTCAACTTGATTGGTGTCCCGGCCCCTTCACCGTGCAACAGATCGAGTTTTTCTTGCAACACGATTAGACCCGCTTTATGTGCACTCAAGTCTGCGGAGGCCTCGTCCTGTCTTCGGTAAGCGTTTCTTAGCAGAGTGGTATGAGCTTCGTACGAGATCTTCAGGCTTTGGATACCCTTCTCCCAGTCTATCTCGGCTGCTGTGATTGAGTCTCAGTTTGAATGTCAGTGCGCTCTTCCAGCGATGGGATCCCCAGACTAGGGACATTGATCTTGACTGCCTGTGGGAAAGTAATTGACTGACAGCATTTGGGTCGTCAACAGCATATAAATCGTCATGACGTGGCTTGCCGGTGTAGTCCTCAGCTCTTTGATATTCCCCACAAACGCAAGGTTGAATTGTACCTCCGACCTGCGCCTTTGAATTAGTCGTCCTTTGCGTTTCGTGTACCCAAGCGCTTTTCAAAACTTCTCTACCTAGGCGAAGAAGCTCTCGAGGGGCCTTTTGCACGCAGAAAGCAGCGGCCCCGAGCAAAAGGGCATACATAAGACCGCTATTGAATTGAGCAGAGATTGAGAAAATGGGATCATGGGCCAGGAAATGTGAATTCAGCAAACAAGAAACGAGCCAGCAGAGCGCGCTTCCTTCTCCTAGTTTGCATAGAACCCGGCCCATGTTTCGAATCGAACCTCTTTCGTCCAGAGCTCCGCCCGCTGCTCCTCTGTACTTACTTTATTATTTGGCGCTGTCTCTCCTGGTATTGTGACGTATCGTGATCTCTCTATGGTGGCCATGGCAGTGAGAGAAAAGGCACATTCGAATTCGCCTCTGACAAGAGCAAGAACTTGAAAAACTCGAGCTAGACGGCAGTACAGAAATAGGTGAGACGTGCGTGTAAAAGTTCGGCGAGAGTGCAATTCTTGGCATGGGACAACGTGCAGTCTGGGAGGTTGCGACGTCCAACTTCGACGACCGCGACGAGCGACCCAGTCGAGATCCGGGGGCTCCGGATCCGTCGTCGTCTCGAGCGCTAGCTCACAATAGTGCGTTTCTTCAAGGTAAAGAGTGCTATCTACTCCTAACGCCGTCATGGTTTTCCACAGCTTGCTCTCACGGAGAGAAGCTGGAGTGTAATGTGAGACCAACGTGGAAATGGTCGTAGAGGGAGAAAAGAAAGACGGCTTAGACTTGATGACACCGAGAAAGAACAACATAACAATGAATGGATTTGGAGATCCTTTTACCCGTCCGAATGGCGAAAGTGAAGATATGCCCAGAGATCTCAAAGCTTCTCTTCACCGCACTGTATAAACATAGCTATCCAATCTCTTCGTATACACTCCTAGTGTTGAGCCTCCTTACTCACTTCCATATCCTCCTAGCGCGCCTTGATTTAGGAGTTCAACCCCAAAGGATTACCCCCCGTCTGCTCCTGCCCCGCAATTGGCTTCTCCAGCTCCTCATTATGCTGATCCACCTTCTCAGACTCCTGCGTCGCATTCTTCAAGGTCTCCGGCGCCCTAAACAACCCTCCCACAAGGGGATCAATCAATCCACCCACAGGAGCCGCTACAGTCTCTAGCCCTTTGCCCACAGGTCCTCCGACTTTGCCCAGGGTGCCTTGGATCTTGTCGCCGGCGGAGTTGCCGAAGTTGCCGGGGGCGGAGAACATGGAGCCTAAGTGAAGAAGAGGAAAAGAATGAGCTAGGTAGAATACAGAGGAATGAAGGTAGGGATGATACCGATTGTACTACCTTTCTTTTCTGGGGGGGCGGAGGGGTCTGGTGTGGCTTCTTCGTTCTGGTCAGTCTGCTCGGGCTGCCTGATGTTGAGTTCTTCATTGTCTTCGGCCATGGTGACTGAGTGATTCTTGCGTTCTAGATGAGGTTGAGCGTGTTGATGTCGGGGTGTGCGTTGCTGTTGTGAGTAGAAGAGATTGAGGGCAGATGAGCAAACCAAAGGTGTCTTGTGACAGCGGTAAGAAAGAGTGGGGTGGAAATTCCTAACCGATACAAGTAGGGGCAAAGCGCAAGCCACAAGGGCATCTTCCGGGGCCGGCCCCATGATTTGGCCCAGCACCCGGAACTTTCGGATTCTGCACCTACTGCGCAGGAAACAGCCACTGGTCTCAGACTTACAGCCAGCATTGGCCCACACTGGCAGCTGATGCCTGGTATTCATTGACATCTACGAACTCCCAACCGCCAACTACCTGTCTACAATGTACGCCGCCAAAAATGCTCCCTATTCATCTCAAACCATCTGTTCAAATTAAAAACGTCTCACTGTCTGGCTGGCGGTCTGCAGCCTTTTGATGTGTTTCCAACCTTAAAGTCCCATCAACTGGCATTCTCCAGGGCAGATACCATAAGAAAAGAATCCCTGAACCTGAAGTAGAACATCTCTTTCTTATAAAGCGTATGCTACAAGAGACCTCTTACGGTATTCGTTGGCAACGCATCCCTGATATTCTCATCCGTGTGGCTACAGGCTAACAGCTAACTCATCATCTCACTACTCGCACGACGACATCATGACTTGATCCACAGACTCGTAGAGTCAAGATGTCAGATCCTCAATGGGCAATTTACACCGACTCTTAGCCAAGATGCAATATCTGGACCTAGACCAAGGCACAACCGACTATGACCCCTACCCCAATCACGGGAAACTGATCAGCATCACCCTCACGACCCAGTCAGGCATGATACCATAAGCATTTCCGCGACTCCTCTACGTCGCAGCTGGCGAGATGGAGCCACGGCGCCCGCGACGAAGAGTTCATTCTGTATGGTCGCATATGGCTCTAGGAGAATCGACGTATGAGTACTTCCAGCAATATCTCTAGATATCATAGCACAGTTCAGAGGAGATGTAGAGGGAGTTACACACTCGTACCTACTCCTCTGACCTGTATTAAGACTCAGACAGCTGTTTACAAAGAGCAGTGCTAACTTTGCAACAGCTGGGTTTCCGTCTCAGCCACCTTGAGGTGGAGAGCATTGAGGAAGATGAGAGAATTTCCAACACGATGAGATACTCTCCTCAGGCGCTTTGCCGAACAGGATACTGAGGCTTCCATCTGAGCGCATTGACCTGAACTTTGGGGGAGTAGAATCGAAGGACAGGTTTGGGGAACTTCTTCCTGTCGGTAACAACTCAAAGACGCCCTTAATCACGTCGACGGTCAGACCGGGATCGGGGCAAAGGATGAGTAGGATGATCACTTAAAGCCCAATGAGACCATAAGGATCACAATACTAAAATGATGAGACGATACGAGAAGATTCATGGGTCCATATATCCCTACAACGATATCTGGAACTGAGTGCTACCGGTAATTGAGAAAGTTTTCCGCGCCCAGAATTACAGACCTTTGTGCACAAGCTAATAGACCCAATCGGGTTTCATTAGCGGGCTCAAAGCTATTTCAGAACCTAGAACACTCCGCTACTAGGTAGCAGACATCACACATCGTTCCACCGAACGATCTAGAGGTTGGCATGCCACAACAGTCTTGAAGCGACTCTCGGTATTGAAGACACGCAATGCTCGAGTACAACAGCCAGTATCAGGTACTGATATGCCCGTTGCATAAATGTGCGGTACCCGATGCAGACAAACACGTCCGTAAAGCCCATGGAACAACAGGACAAGAAAATGCTGTCTTAGTGGGCCAACAGAAGGGATTGCCTCTTGTGAATCCAAATGACCTTCATCTGCCGTACTATGGAGCAGCTCCAAAGGGGTTCTTGAATAGCCCCAGAATTGGCTACTCATGCTCATTCTGACACTTTCGTACAATCAGACAGGAGAGGCTTACAAGACATTGTAGACAATCCTACCACCAAATAGAATCGTGGCAGATGATCCGGAACTCAAGTGTGGCAAAGGAATGTCGAACTCTTTAAGTATGCGTGGTCAAAAGCTGTATCCTTTCGGAATGACCTCGCGAAAAACGGAACTCGTCAGGCAGTGAAAATTCGGGACCGCGACCGCCATGGTCAGCAAAGAACACAGAAACGGGCTGCGGTTACGGCATCGGTACCAACCAGAGGGCCATTCTCCCTCTGCCGTCCGGCGCTTGAGATTAGAATGGAAATTACAGGCTGATCCTAACAGTGGAAGCTACCTATCAATCGTGGACAGACAGGCTCCTATCAAGCCAGACATCTTCATTAGTGCTACTCACGGATACGACAACCACCAGGACGAACTCCATCACTATTGGCACGCGTGCAACGAAAGGGAGAACAGCCTCGAGGAACCTGCTTTCGAAGACGAGAACACTCAATTCAACGCCAATACTTCTATTCTACAGCGAGAGCAAGTTCCTTATTCCCAGTGCAACTTCGGGGTCCTCTCCACAGCGCTCGAATTCATCAATCGGCTTCCACCTACGACGCATAACTGTATGACCGGCTTTGATACCCCCGTTCACAACCTTGTCGAAAACCAGGACGAGGACAACGAGACACGAAAAAGCAGACCCCGTAATTTCGACCCAGATGCCTCGCCCGGAATAGGTATCCTATTCCGAGACCCAGCCTCAGCTAGGCACGAAAGAGTCTCCCCATCTCAGCGACGATGACTCCGATCCTACGTACAAGGACCCCTTCAGCACAACCGTCGTGCCTGAACAGGAATCTGTCCGATGTTCCGATCGTAGCGTATCGATACCGACCTCGACGACGTGGAGAATGGGCCTCGATGTGCGAGCAGCGCTGACTTCACACCTCAGATTCGTAACCAGCAACAAGCCCCGAATGGTCCCAACGACCGGACTCGGATCCGAGCACACACCAACCCACCAACAACCATATGAACGAATTGCCCCCCTGAAGAGTTCCAAATCCGGGAGATAGAACTGAGGCAATGGAAATCAGGCAGATGTACCCATGTGACAACCTCTGGGGAGAAGCGCGCACACAATTAAACGGGCATTTCTACCGAACACCGTGATCGTTGCGCCTCTTGTAGCTATCGGGGAGACAACGGAGCTCTCAAGGCTAAGAAAGCGAGAGGGAGGAGTAGTCTAGAATGCTTCAGTGCAGGAGGCGGAAATATCAAGAGCGCGGTTGTGGGTTGGGGGGGGGTCTTTCAGGAACGATGAGAATTGTGCTACAAGGTCATGCACCAAATAGATCTAGATTTGTATGAGACTAGTCAAGCAGAAGTCATGCGTAAGTGGGAGATTGGGCAGGTAGTATTTATTTTAGGGAGCGGGAGGGGATTCCAAGGCTCATTGATGTGGAACTTGAAAAGTTACGTGTCTTGTACGCAGAGAAGCCGGCACGGAAAACAAATCTGACGAGCTCACACCTTGCCATGTTTGTCATCTTTTTGCGGGTCCCAACCTGATTGGATTAGTTGTTCACGTCAACAAGAATTGGATACATGTGATTCGATACGGAAGATGACAAGATACGCTCCGTTACAGGTGCATTCCTTTTCTAGCAACGCGTCCTGTTGGGACCTTGTTGATTCGAGATTCTCCCTGTGCATGAAAATTGCTATATTCTCTTAGGTTGGCGATTCCTCGGTGTTTTCTCCTTTCTTGAGCACTCGATGAGGCGAGATCCGCCCGATCAAGTTTCACTTTGCAGAGATAGCAGGCGTATCTTGCCAGCTGGCGACATTTGTCGTGGTTGACCGGCACGTGAATTGTCCTTTTTCACACGTCTCGAGCGCTGGCGGATCGACTGTGATTGATCTTTGCATTTCGGAGCAAGTGTTCGCTAGACAGGTGACGGATATCTTATCTTGCATTGTCCCAACCGCATGTAGGCGTCTTCCAGTAGGGCCTTCATCAGCTTGGCAGACAGATCTATAAGCTGAGATTTACAGTCTAGCTTTATTATTGGCTCTATGCGTGCTTAATGGCAGCATGTAAGGCTTCTTCAATCGTCCGTCCGGTCCCTACACCCTTTCCCTTCAACTTCTTGTTCAAATATGCCCTGTCTAAAAGCGATAGATTCGCCGATGTGACCACCAACTTCCCTGTTCCGGGACAAGGTCTACGATGAACGCCCGTAAAGTTCGTCAAGATGATAAATGTGATGTTCAGAGTGATGTTCCGAGCGATTTGTTGGATGTATTGTGGAGTCCAACTCTGTGGAGAGAGGGAAAGTGTCAAGCAACTGAAGAGAACCCCTGGGATTGGTGTGAGGCCCCAAATATCTTTCTCATCTCGCCAAACACACGTTGTGCTCATTGTCGTCAGTCAAAGCTGTACTGGACTCGATGATCGGATCCGAAGAGCATCAGTCGGCTTTGTCAAGGAATCGTAGAGCAATACCGAAAAAGATTAGAAACGCTGATGGGCGTGATCAAACATAGATCAGGCGCAAGCCATCAGACCTATTCGAACCAGAACCTTCCTCGTCTTCTTCGTCGTCCCCGTGTTCGTACTGCCCATGCCATCCACCCAAATGACCGGCCGCATCTCTAACGTGCGCCTTCTCATTTGACCGTTTCCACTCTTTTCTTATATCCTTCACGTCCCTAGCCGGTTTCTTCATCTTCGTACCAGAGTTCCCGAGATTCCTACATCAACGATGAGGTTCAAATATTCCATGATTTTGCCACCGGCCAAGAATGCCACATCGCCAGTGGACTCTGATTCCAGCCACATCATTTCGCGCTCTCCACTGTCTCGACCGTGTCCTAATAACGGCAATGGTAGATTGAAAGCTTTAGATGGTACTGGGTCGATGACAAGAATGCTTCTGCACTGGTTGAAGTCCAATGCGCCCCATAGCTTTCTTCAATCATGGCACATGATCAGAGTGTGAGGGTCCGAAGATTCGTTCATGATATCCGAAATGTCGATCTTCCACATCCCCTCTACCGAGTCCGAAGGTCCATTGATCTTGTATGCCTGATATAATGATGTTTTAGTTACCGTGACTCTTCAGATTTCTGGCCCAACCTACCTTCTACTTCTCGTGTCTTCTTTGCGTGTTTTTCTGCTTCGTACTCCCTACGCCAGCTCAACCCATTGACTGCCGGGACTCCTCCAATCCATGGCTCAGCCTCGTGCATATCCTCTTCGACGTCCAGGGAGCCAGCACGAAAGTTATCCCATACTTGAGTCCCTTGCTCTTCAACTTGTCTGTATGGCTGGTATCCACACCAATGGTACGACCAGGTGCTTTCTTTGCAATTTCCTTCTGGATAACTCGGGCCCCCCTCTCTGTCCCTGATCTATTTTGGTGGTCTCCTTTCAGCCGCTTCTCACCCTCCAAGATATGCTGTGGGACCTTTGATTCTTTCCACCTCGGGCGCCTCTACTACTCGGGCGCCTCTACTACTCGCTGTCGAACTGCTGCGTGACCGATTTTCGCCGGGCCACCGCCGTAGTGCAAGACATGACCTATGTACCAGTTCTCACTCTTATCTCCGTGCTCAATTTTGCAGTGTCTGATTTTGACGTAGAGCATCGCCTTGGTCCGAGCTGGAGTGGCACGTCTTTCGCGAACATCTGCCCAGAAAGACGATTCGTAAGAGATGGGACCTTCTCTGGAGGACAACTTTTTCGGGGTGCTGGTATCACCTTGGTCGATGGGGAGGATTATTTCTTGAATTGCCATGGGAGCCGGCGTGGTATAATGAGCATTGACGGATCGACTTTCAGTCAAGGAAACGCTACAATCACAGCGGCTCCGCAAACGCGCAGTCACGTGATCTTCATGGCTTGGCGTAGACTCGGAGCTTACGCGGCGACCGATTCATCTTCATTTTCCGGATGTCTATCCTGATGCCTGTCAAGACACCAAGCTACTTGTACAGGCAGAAAACAGGCTCTTGATGTAACGCTTTTCAGATGTCAAGGTGAGATCCACATCCTCATGGTACGATCAGTCAAGGAGGTCTCATTAAATGCTGTCTATAACCAAGAGTCACATAAGACATCTCAATGCCAACAACGAGCACCCAAACTTCCTGAATTCCGCCACCTTGTATGCTAACCTTCGAAACTAGGTTCTCCTCCTTTGTCGGCAACGTGACTCCAAGGAAACCATCTTACTCCACCTTCTATCACCACTTTCGCACGCTGTCCCTGCCGAGAAAGCGAGGCACATTGTCCAATTAAGATCAATGTTGATGTCTCTTCATTCCACGAGCTACGACCACTGGATGTGTCGATATCGGCGTCATGCCCGCAAGACCTAAGGTCGTCAAGTTAGCTAGGGAGCAGAAAGAGAAGGAGTACTTGGGAACATACACGTCACTGCATGAATTGAGACCATTTGGTGTCACGTCGACGGTTGAGATGTTACCAATTGAGCCTTTGGACTTTGCCATGTTCCTACAGCCGTAGATGATAGGGTATCAAACTAGCCAGGCCCCCTCTCGACTTGCACGATCCGACGTTTGGTAGAGCTAGGACCACGGCCAAAAGCGGTGTTCGCGAAAAAATTTCGCGGATGGGGTCAAGAAGGCAGGCCGTGCTAAAAGACTGTCGCTCTCACTCTTCATAGCGTGGGAATACAGGATAGCCAAAAAGCGGATCTGGGTGAGGGTCCTGTATCTGCGGATGGGTATCGTCGTACCAGGCTCCGAGATGAGGACTCGTCTTGGTATACTCTAGGATTCTTTGGTCCAGGCACATCCAACATGCTCAATGCTGGCTCCCAATGCTTTGGCTGCCACTGAGTAACAATATCGAGGATGACCAGCGTCACCATATTGTATACACTCGTTTCTCCGACCCCACCCACCAGTCGCTGATCACTTCCGCCTCAAGTGGGCCGTCTAGATATCCGGCCAACGCACGTAGTTGCTCTCGAATGCTGGGACGGTGAAACACGTATTTCAGGCGTAACGGGTTGAGGGAGACGGTGCTGAGCGTTCGCAGAAGGATCGTGGATCGCTTCGAACAGGTGCAGGACGAGGGCGCATAGGAACAGAGATGGTCGCCTAAGGGAAGGAGCTTGCAAAACTCGCAATGATCTTGGGGACCAGCGAGCGTAACGAGCTTTGGCCGCATTGCGAACAGTGGGGACCAAAGTCAGATTGACCGTGATGTTCTGCTGACAAACGAAGAAGTCTGTGCAGCTCAGCGAAAAAGACACGAGGTCACGTGCGCACGTCCTTGTTGCGTCGACTATCTTCGGCTCTGTGGAAGCTCTCTCTCACCGTTACTGTCCTCAAAAGACAAGGAAGAGCGTGGGGGTCTTGATGGAAGCCTGCGAACAAGAAAATGTCCGAGATCTTGTTTTCTAGATCGCTTGCGGATCGAAATTCTCCATTGCGAAGATCCACCATGCAAGCCACCGGCAACCTTTTGACGTCGGCGACGACAAATCAAACCTCGTACTTGGAAAATCTCGGTCGGGTCTCTCTCGTTTGCCGGCAGCTGCAGGAACCGTGGGAATGAACGTAAATCCGTTGAACGGTGACCGAAGCGAAAATCCTCCGATCGCCGTCGAGACGCCCGGAGATCTCCACAGAATGTATGTACGTCTCGGAGACATCTCCACCAAATTTATGCGGATTGCCTTTTTGCATCCATTCGATAGCGATATGCGAGTAGCCGCTGGATCGTCGATAGCAGGAGCCGCATTCAAAAATGGCCATGGTGGCTTCTGTTAGCTCGAGTCGAGAGGTTACGTCACGAGCAGCGAAAGATCTTGCGAGCGAACTGCGTCTGATCGCAGAGTGCAGCTTGCTTGCCAGCTGACTATCGATGAGATGAAGGTGAGCAGAGACTTGGCAAAGAATGACCATACCTCCCCGTAACGTTCTCAACGCCAAGCCTTCCAATCTGGTGGGCAGGAGATGCTACCGTTCATGCGTTTCGCCTGGAGTAGATAGTATGGTGTATCCTGCTGTACAGAATGTTTGTAATCTTAAATTTGAATTCGCCCTCATAATACGATCTATACGTCTCCGTAGTCCGTAGTTGCACTTTCCCATTGTTCCAACGTCCATTCGGTCGTTGGTAGTCACCACGAAAAGCGAACGATACTTACGTCTTCTCTATGAATACATGGAGGGTGCAATTCATAAATACAAACTCTACATGGCAGAAGACGATAACAACAGTAGAGAGGAAATGAACATGTGCCTTCCTTGACCCATAGCCCACCAGCTCCATCTCCAGCTCCATCTCCTCCATCACCGTATTCGCAACGATCCACGAAACGGCGCCGTAGGCCGCAGACCTCTCTCTCTCTCCCGCCATCCTCGCGTCGGCCGTCCGTCCGTCTGATCCGCGTCGCGTTCCCTAGTAGCAGACATCGACCCTCTCCCTCCGCCACGATCTTGACCCGACATTTTATCGTGCCCAAAAAACCCTCTCAATGCCACATCCACCGTGAGGGGGGGCAAGACCATTCTGCATCCGGGCCCGCACTAGAGTCTATCTTTCTCGTGAGGATTTCTCCCACCGGCAGGAATGGGCCAGCGAGGTGCGGATAGGGTGGTGATTGAGTGAGGGGGTGAGGGAGGGAGGAGTGTCGCCGTCTGTCTGTCGTGCGGATGCCTCGATGCGGCAGGGGGATGCGAAACGCCTCTGCTGACAAAGCAGGGAAGGACGGAAGCAGCGGAGGTTGTTCACACGTTGGAGCGAGGTTTCTGTGCCGGATGGACGAGTGCGCACGGTTCGTGCGTGGGAGGCTGAGAAGAAAGAAAGAAGAAGAAAAGGAGAGAAAGAGAGAGAGAACTGTCAGCGAGGGCACGGGCACGGGCACGATCTTAGGGGGACGCGAGGTGCTTCCGCAACAGTAGCCGTACTGTAGCACCCCATGCGAAAACCTCTGTCGTCCGTCTTGTCAGTCAGGAATAACATAACGGAGCCGTCGTCACCGACACGGAGCCTGTGGTCGAATCATAGGGGTAAGTAGAGGGTACAAGCCCCTCGCATGGACCTTATGCACCGCGCGCGAAAAAAACCCGTGTGCCTCGCAAAATCGGTGACGCAGACCCTCGACACGTGAATGGACCGAGGCGGAAAAGATCGTCGTGGCTTTGTTCTTTTGTGAAAAACGCCACGGACGAAAAGATGAGGAATCGGGAGGAGGTAGGGTACGGTATTGGAAGAAAAAAGGGCAGATGCACGCGAACCCTGCAGCTGGCTGAAGCACGATGGCCCCAAGGGAAAAATGATGGACCTGCATATGTATCCCCCCCCAAAATACCTGCAAGGCTACTGTTTGGAGGAAGGGGGGACGAGGGAGAGGGTGTGAGATGCACACATGCAAGTGGGATCTACCGCTCGCATGCGAAAAAAAAATCTAGGGATATCGAGTGTGCGTGTGTGTGTGTGTGCTGGCGAACCGGAGAATTGATTCTCGGCCCCGCATGACAGCGATCGACAGCGTGGCATATGCTTTGATGCAGCAGCATGCGGGATAGAAAAAAAAAAAAGAAACAGATGTTAGGAGAATTGTTGGGTGGAGGCCGCATATGCGGTGAGAAGAGTTGGAAGCGTTGACCATTGGACGGGATGGTACTGTGGGTGAGAGGAAGACGCGAGGGCTGGATCGAAAAGGGGCCAAGGGATGCGACGATCGACGCATTTTGACCCCACGGAGTCAGGTAAGGTAAGGGTGATTTAATTTTAGCAACGTCTGCATCGTTTGGGGAAACCCGAAGAGTAGAAAAAAGAAAGAAAAATGCATAGAGTAGAGTATGTCTGAGACAGATCGAGATAGATAGCGAGGCGGTGTGAGAAAAGCTGCGGATGCGTGCTCGCCCAGGCATGATTGCGCAAGCACATACTTTCTCGAATCCCCCGGATAAAAGCCAGCCGTCCTCGTCGCTCGCGCCACCATCACCACCCCAAAAAAACAAAAACAACAACAACAACAACGGAGGAGCCTCCGCAGGACATCCTTCTGCATTGGGGAGGCCACGCGGTTTTCGAACTCTTGACACGGAATAAGATACCTTACATAGTTTGAAGCCTAGCCATTTAGTCGCGATCCACGATGTTCATCGACAACCGGTCCTCTATCGATAAAGTACCGTGGGTAACCCGGCGCCAAGTGGGGGTGGGGGTGGGTAAGTTTCTCAACGATCGATGCCACACACCGCCCCCAGGGCCCAGGTCTTACTTACGCTCAGGCCGCATAAAGTACAACTATACCATCGAATCTCAAATCCCCAACGAGACCCTGACCCCTGTCATGCAGACTTCGGTGACCCCCCCCCCCGGCTCCATCCAAAAAAGCAACACCCCAGCCCACTCATATCACATTGCGCAAGACGGAGTGGGTTCCGCGAAATGGATGGGGCCGAGGAGACAGAGGCGGTGGCGGTGGGTTGCCGAATACGAATCTCCCAGAAAAGCACGGGCGGGCAAGGGTGGGCGCCCAACGGATGGGGTTTGGGCGGTGGTGGGTTGGGTTGGGTTGGGTTGGGTTGAGTTGGGTAGGTCTATCGAAGGTACCTACCTACCTTATGTGATTTGAGAAAATGAGATACATACGGAGTATACCCACGATGGATGCGGCGATGCGCCCACTGCAGCGCCACCTACCTAAGATCCCCCCGGGCTAAAGCTGACGGCAACACCGGCCGCCGTTCCCAGAATTCCATTCGACGTTAATTAAAGCTCTTGGGCAAAGAAAGGGAAGGAAGGTTC